AAAAAAAAAAAGATCAGTGGAATAGAAGTGAGAGTCCAGAAATAAACACTCACATCTACAATCAATTGATTTTGACAAGGTTGCCAAAACAATTCACTGAGGAGAGAGAGTAGTTTTTTTTAACAAGCGGTTCTGGGAAAGTTGGGATATTTGCATGCTAAAAATGATTATGGACCCCTGTCTTCCATCATACACAAAAATTAACCAAAAATGGGTCATAGACCTTCATGTAATTTAGCTACACTTTAGAAAAAATAAAGGGGCAAATTTTTGTGACTCTGAATTTGGCAATAGCTGCCGCTTTTTTTTAATGTTTATTTTTGAGAGCAGGGAGGGGCAGAGAGAGAGGGGGACAGAGGATCCAAAGCAGGCTCCACACTGACAGCAGAGCCTGATGTGGGGTTCGAACTCACAAAGTGTGAGATCATGACCTGAGCTGAAGTTGGACACCCAACCAACTGAGCCACCCAGGCACCCCAGCAATAGCTTCTCTTTATATATGATACTGAAAATGTAGGCAATCAAGAAAAAATTGGGTGTCATCAAAATTAAAAACTTGTGCTTCAGAGGTTATTACCAACAAAGTGAACATACAACCCACAGAAAGGTATAAAATGTTTGAAAATCATATATTTAATAAGAGGCTTATATCTAGAATATATGAAGAACTCTCACAAACACAGTAAAAAGAAACAATATAAAAAATTTGGATAGAACATTTCTCAGAAGATACACAAACTACCCAGTAAGCACATGAAAAGATGCTCAGTATCATTAGTCATCAGGAAAATGCAATTACAGTCAAAGCCATAATGATACTACTTTACATGCATGTGGATCGCTGTATTAAAAAAACATAACAAGTGTTGGTGAAGTTGTGGAAAAACTGAAACCCTCATACACTGCTAGTGGGAGTGTAAAATGGTACTTACTATGGAAAACAATCCAGTAGTTTTTCAAAGTTAAAGTTACCACTTGAGCAATTGTCTTTTTTTTGTAATTTGTTTTTAAGTTTATTCATTTTTGAGAAACAGAGTGCAAGTGGGGAGTGGGGCAGAGAGAGAAGGAGACACAGAATCTGAAGCAGGCTCTAGTCTCTGAACTGTCAGCACAGAGCCAGACGTGGGGCTTGAACCCACAAACCACGAGATCACAACCTGAGCCGAAGTCGGACGCTCTACTGACTGAGCCACCCAGGTGCCCCACCACTTGAGCAATTATACTCGTAGCTCTATAACCAAGAGAAAAGAAAACTTATGTCCCCATAAAAACTTGTACATGAATATTCATAGAAGCATTATTCAGAATAGCCAAAAGGTAGAAAAAACCCAGATGTCCATCGATTGAGGAGTGGATTTTTAAAATGTCCTAATGCATACAATGGAATATGATCAAGACATAAAAAGGAATGAAGTACTGACACATGTTACAATATGAATGAATTTTGAAAACAAGCTGACTTGTGAAGGTAACTAGTCACAAAGGGCAACCTACTGTTTCATTCTATTTATATGAAATATCCCAAAGAGGCAAATCTGCGAAGAGAGTAGATCAGTGGTTGCCTAGGGCTGGGGCATAAGAGGATAGGGAGTGGATGGCCAGAGTACAAGTGTCTTTTGCGGGTGGGTATTAAAATGTGTTAAACTTGATTGTGGTGATAGTTGCATAACTGTAAATATACTAAAAAAATCTGTGTTCTTTAGATGCATGAATTATATGGTATGTGAGTTATGTCTTCACTGAAAAAAAAATAGCAGTGGGGTAAAAATAAAAAAACAAACAAAAAAAAACCCCAAAAAACTAAAAAAAAAAAAAAAGGCGTGTTTCTCAAACTTGAGTTGGAATTAACCACACCTGTGAAGCTTGGTAAACATGCAGATAAGAATGTTCTAGGCTTACTAAGGCACTAAAGGGCATGAGGAACCTTAAGTACATATTGCTAAGTGAAAGAAAGCCTGAAAAGGCTACATCTGTGTGATTCCAACTACGGTTGACCTTTGAACAACACAAGTTTGAACTGGGTGGTTTACTTATATGTGGCTTTTTTTAATACAGTACTGTAAATGTATTTTCTCTTATGATTTTCTTTTTTTTAACTTTTATTTAAATTCTAATTAACATACAGTGCAATATTGGTTTCAGGAGTAGAATTCAGTGATTCATCACTTACATACAACCCCCCAGTGCTCATAACAGGTGCCCTCCTTAATCTCTGTCATCCCTTTAGCTCATCTCCCACCCACCCCCCTCCATTGACCCTCAATTTGTTCTGTATCATTAAGAGTTACCTATGGTTTGTTTCCCTCTTTTTTTCTCCCCTTCCCATATGCTCATCTGTTGTTTTTTTTTTTGTTGTTGTTGTTGTTAAATTCCACATGTGAGTGAAATCGTATGGTATTTATCTTTTTCTGACTGACTTATTTCACTTAGCATAATATACTTTAGCTCCACAGTGGAGTGCATGTACCCCTTCAGATCTCTATTTTTGTATCCCTTGGGTAAATTCCTAGTAGTGGAATTGCAGTGTCCTAGGGTAGTTCTATTTTAGCTTTTTGAGGACTGTCCATACTATTTGGTAGAGTGGCTGCACCAGTGTGCATTCACACCGGCAATGCAAGAGGGTTCCCCTTTCTCTGCATCCTTGCCAACACCTGTTGTTTCTTGTGTTAATTTGAGTCATTCTGACAGGTGTGTCTCATTTTTTTTTGACTTTCATTTCCCAGGTGATGGGTGATGTTGAGCATCTTTTCATGTGTCTGTTAGCCATCCGATTGTCTTCTTTGGAAAAGTGTCTATCCATGTCTTCTGCCCATTTCTTAGCTGGATTATTAGTTTTTTTGGGTATTGAGTTGGGTAAGTTCTTTATAGATTTTGGATACTAACCCTTTGTCAAGTATGTCATTAGCAAATATTTTCTCCCCATTCCGTAGGCTGCATTTTAGTTTTGTTGATTGTTTCCTTCACTGTGAAGAAGCATTTTATCTTGATGAAGTTCCATAGTTCATATTTGCTTTTGTTTCCCTGCCTCCAGAAACGTGTCTAGTAAGAAGTTGCTCTGGCTGAGGTCAAAGAGGTTGCTGCCTGTGTTCTCTAGGATTTTGATGGTTTCCTGTCTCACATTTAGGCCTTTAATCCATGTTGAATTTATTTTTGTGTATGGTGTAAGAAAGTGGTCTAATTTCATTCTTCATGTTGCCATCCAGTTTTCCCAACACCATTTGTTGAAGAGACTGTCTTTTTTCCATTGGATATTCTTTCTTGCTTTGTTGAAGATTAGCTGACTATATAGTTCCATGTCCATTTCTGGGCTTTCTGTTCTGTTCCATTGACCTATGTGTCTGTTTTTGTGCCAGTATCATACTGTCTTGATGACTACAACTTTGTAAAGCAGCTTGAAATCCGGGTTTGTGATGCCTCCAGCTTTTTTTTTCTTTTTTAGGATTGCTTTGGCTATCTGGGGTCTTTTGTGGTTCCATGCAAATTTTAGGATTGTTTGTTCTAACTCTGTAAAAAATGCTATTAGTATTTTTATAAGGATTGCATTAAATATGTGGGTTGCTTTGGGTAGTATAGACATTTTAACAATGTTTGTGC